TTTTGCAATAAATTTTTGAATTTTTGCTGAGAAATTTACGGATAAATTCATAAATTTATCTTGGCGCATTTTTTTTTCAGTTTGCGCCAAGAATAATTGCAACCTGTTTTCCTTTCCTTTGTTTTATTGTACAGGAGCGGAAAAAGAATTCATTTTTCATACTTTCAAGTACTTTTAACACAGTGTGTAAACCACATTTGGTGTTATTATCGCTTAAAACAAATATGCCATATTTCAAAACAAGCCGATACGTAAATCCACGTATATTTTTGGAAATTTTTAATAAAAAAAACTTAATAACAATTTTTTGTAGGTATGCTTAGAAATACATCTATTTTAAGACGACGGTAAAAATTTTGTAGGTTATAATTCAAAATTTTTTTCCCAAAAATTTATAAAAATGCTTTAAAACTACAAATTAAAAAAATAAACCAGAAAAATGGGTGAATTTTATTTGGAACGAACCTATATTTCGAAATGGGAAAGGAAGTATCAGATAAGTTTAATAATAATAATAAAAAAAATAAATGAATAATTAAAAAAAAAAAATACCAGATTCGATTAGCACGGAGGAGCTAAAATTTTGAGAGCTAACGTTTTAAAAACTACTCGTGCGATTTTTACAAAAATTGGCATTTTGAGTTGTAGAATCGAAATGTGGAAAGAAATTGGCATGTTATTTCAGAAAAAGACCGATTTTGTTTCAGAATATAGGTTAGAACAATACTTTTTATAAAAGTAATACGTATTCTACGTAGCACGTTCGAGACGCGAAAAATGCAATTTGAATTTCGTCAATCCACCCAGTAGAATAGAAGATATAGAACTGTAATTTTTTTTTTTTTTTTTTTTTTTCAGTGTACATCTCTTTTTCTGTTTTAACTATGAATTCTTACAAAATTTTATTCAAATCTGGCGATTAGGTTTTTAGAAATTCGACTTAATGTGCAAATTCTTGTAATTTTGCCACAAGGGTATATTTACTCAGTTTTCTTTTCCCAGTGATCGGGCAACATGTCTGAAGCAATTTGTCAGAATATTTACTTAATTTTATATCAGGGTAAAGTGGTGAAGATCATTTAAGTAGCTTTTATGTAACACACATTAAATATTACATTTAACTCATGTATCTTAAGGCCACTTCATATGTAGATTTTTTTACTTCCTTGTACGAAGTAAAATGGAAGTATTGTAATCGCGAAAAGTTTCACACAGCATAATTCAACGAAAATATCCATTTTGACCTCTATCGAATGCAATTTAACGATGTTTTTGCTTGATATCTGTATGTAAGAACAGAATGAAAGACTCTTTTCCTCCAAAAAAAAAAAAAAAATATAAAACTGCTTTAAAATGAAATCTGAAGAGAATTTTTCGTGGCGTCTGTACGAACGTATGTACGTACGTACCTGGCATAACTCAAAAACGAGTAGCCTCAGAACGTTGAACTTCTGTATATAAGACTCCAATAACATGTAGATGTAAACCTCGTATTTTGGTTGCAATCTGCCGCACCAAATATCTATAAATAAATTTATATATATATCTACTCTGTTACTCGGCTTCAGTGATCACAGTTTCTTTACTCTTATGCGTTGTAAATTGTGCATTTTTTTGCTTTAAAAATGATTGAATTATGTTGTTCTTATCTTCCGATTAAATTTTTATGCCTTTAGGAAATCTGGCAAGCAATATTTGTACAATTATCAACAATTTAAAAGCTGTTTAAGTGCGGTTAAGCCTAATTTTTAAATAACATGGCGGACATGTTTGTTTACATTTGAAATAGCAGAATAGTAGATTTGTCGCCAATCTAGAGAGACAAGGGCTTTGCAACAGCAAAGATAACGCCTTCATTTTTTATTGCGGGTTAAATCATGCTTAATTCTTTCTGAAATTTTTTGGAGGAAATAAGTGTTTAAGATTTACTTCGTAATTTTGAATATAGATATTTTGAGTTTTTATGTACTTTTGCCTTGTCGCGAAGTGAGAACTGAATTAATTGAATGCGAAATACTGAATCGTCTGTGAAAAGCTGTTTCTTTTTTTGTTTTGTTTGCTTAACTTCTTTTAGACACCGTTCTAGATTTATTATAGCATTTGAATAGAACATATGGCAACGATTAGATAATTCTTCAAATGATATAAATTTTGTGCATTCTGAGTTACAATATGAACGAAATATAATAATACTGTTAAGTGAACCTATCGCCAGAGTGTCGCTATGGTAAACAAATAGAGTGAATTTTAAAGAATGCATTTATTCTATTGTGGTTTATGCGCTGTCGGCGAAGTAGATTTAATTCAATCCAATAAGTTTAAATGAAATGCAAGAAAAAAATGCGTATAATTTAATATTCCGTACAAGGAAGTCATGTGGTGCATACATCAGATTTTTTATGCATGTGAATAAATACCATCAAATATGCAGGTTCGTTTTATTCATGAGACCCTTTTACATCTGCGAAGACATATTATATGATTTTAAAATCGTTGTTTTGCTATTGATACGTTAAAAGACTTATTTATAAAACAAATTATTATAAATTTAAATACTGAAAAAATTTTCTGACTTTAATATATTGTTTTCAGTTTTGATAAATATACTTTTTACTACCGACTTCTCGATTTCTAAACCAGCGGTCGTATTATCGTTGCCAGAAAATGAAACTTAAAGTAAACAGTTGAATGTTTTAAAAGGATTTTTTATTTTATGACCAGGCAATACTTTTTCATGATCAACTTTGTTTACTAACATGAAGTCTTTTAACTGCATCATTTTTCATAATGGAAATTTTATTCCTACGTTTTAAAAATTTTGTATTTTCAATCTGAATATGTTCATAGTTTGGGAAGCGTTCTGAAAAAAAAAAAAAAAAATGACATAAAGTATTTTTTTACGATAATAATTATAGCCCAAAATTGCTATTAATTTCAAAACGGAATTTTGTTTCGATTCACTTTTCAAACCGTTGCCACCAAATTTTATCGCCATTTTAAAGAAACTAAATATTGAAGAATCTATATGAATGCATGAATGTTTCGTGCATTGTGAAGAAACAACGGTACCCAAACCATCCAGTTTTGAATAATGTCCTCCAACAGAACATGGGCGCTGGAAAGCTCGAATTTGGAATTTCAAATTTGTTTCATATTTTGTAACACTTTAACGAATTTTTGATTAACAAACTGGACGATTTCTAAGCGAGCAATGGCAACACTGTACGGAAAAAAAAAAAAGCATTTTGATCTCTACCGCGTGAGACTGCTCATCAGTAATTTTAATGATATGCTAATTTTAAATATTTTGTGATATTGCTGTTGAATTGAATTTTATGCTTTGAGCGCGAAGAACATGATATTTAATACATAATAAAGGTAACACACAAAACGTTGAAAAAATGCCCTTTTGGGCGTAATACAAAACTTGAAAAAGCTTTTAGATTTTTTTTTTTTTTTGGTTATTTCATTATAGTTAACATTAAAAATCGTAAATTTTAGTTAGGATTGCATTTTATTTCAATATGCCATGAACATTTCCCTTAGTATATTACTGTTGTCTTATCTTGCATTAAATATTGGACAAAACGAAAAAAAAATTGTTTCCTTTCGTAAACTAACTGTTAAAATTATTACTTCTATAACCAGAGGGCCATGTAAACTTTATATTTAACCAAGCAAATAAGAAAGAATTATAATTATAAGAAAAACACTACATGGAAGAATTACATGTCAAAAGTAATAAAGGTAACATAAAGCAATTACTCTTGGATAAGAGGAAAAGTTATGTCCATGCAAAAATCTGTGGAATCTCTTTAACTAAGGGTTCAGATGTTAGATGTTTCAATTTTTTTTTTACTGTTGCCATTTAGCGTTAGGTTATACTTCTAATTTTTACACAAAAATCTATTTTAAAGTATTAGAATAATAAAATTACGATGAGTTTTAGCAAGGAATATCTATTCTATCATTATCTATTATTATATTCTATCATTATCAGCTGAATCAGACTAACCAAAAAAAAAAAAAAAAAAAAAAAAAAACTTAAGGAGACTCATACATCTTAAAAATCCATAAGATCTTTGAATATGTAACTGTTGCAAGAATTGGGATAACTTATTTTAAAAGCAATTACTTCCAACCTTTTACAGCTGACTACATAATATAGCTGCTTTCTGAAATCGTAATCAGAAAGTTTGTGTTGTCACAAATATTTTTATAATTTAATCCGCTTTGTGACAAAAAGTTTCGTCATGTTTCTACCTTACGTGCACCGTTTAAAACATTCTGTTGTATAATTTAATTCCATATTTAATATATAGCTTTTATAACATTTGGAAACTACTGTGAACCAAAATTTCATGTTAAGAATTTCATGTTAAATTTTTATTTTTATTTGGAGTTTAGTTTATAAAATATATTTTATTAAAAAAATCTGCAATGTTTTCGTGCATAAAATTTTTTAATATTAAAATATTCATCAGATTTTGGGTTCAATTAGAAAATAGTGCCCATATAAAGAATTCCATCCAATTTCGAGTATGTACCATTAGCCATTTTTTAAATATTATGCGCGCAAGGTGGAAACATGACGAAAACTTTTGTCACAAAGCCGATTAAATTACAAAAACATTTGTGGCAACACAAACTTTCTGGTTAATAGTTTTCAAAGCAGCTATATTATGTAGTGAGCTGTAAAATGTTGGAAGTAATTGCTTTTAAAATGAATAAAATATCCCAATTCTTGCAACAATCCCATATTCGAAGATCATAAGGGGGTTTAAGATGTATTAGAGTTTGTCTAAAAAGGCATCAGGAAAAAAATTCACAAATCAATGGATTTATTTAATTTCATTGTGTAAGCATTTTTTTTTTTTTTTTTTTTTGGACGAACTCCAGGAAATAATTTTTTTTTATTATACATCCTCTGAAATTGACTTTGTTTGAAAGAAACTAAACTTCATTAATTAAATTTTAAATAATTCTTTTTCCTCCTTTAGTATTTATGTCCTTCCTGACGAAAGAAGATACGTTCAATCGAAAATGAAGAAGAAAACTTGCAATCCGAAATTCGAAGAAAATTTTGTTTTCCAGGTAAATATATATTTCAATTTTTTCCATAAAAAAACTATATTGTGTAATAAAGAAGCCCTATTATTGAACTAAACGACTCAAAATCAAACCCTGACGCTTATCACTGCAATTATATTAACAAGAACTATCTGATTTCAACATGCAATCAAAATATTTTCTAAAAATATTTTATATATAGTTTAGATAAAATGTTGCATATCTATCAAAAAGTGTGTAGAGACATTAGGTTATTTTTGGAAGCAGGCAAGATGAAAAATGAGCAAACGCTTTCGCCGGGAATCGAACCACAGACCTCTGGAATATCCGCCTAGCATGCTGACCACTACACCAAGAAGGCACGCTAGGAAAGCAGGAGAAATACCTTATATACTCCCCTTTTGGTACTATTCGGTTTCGAGGGCCGTATAAAAATTGCAGCGAAAATGTATGCGCAAAAGCGCCAAATGTAGTAAACGCGTCGATTTAACAGCGCGCCAAATCTAGCGTACGCGCTGGTTTCAGATTGCGTAAATTTATATAGTTCTATATTTCTTAAGACGCCATTGAAATACTAATTTAATTTTAAAATCCTTTTTTGATATCCTACGGATTTAACAATTTGGGAATTATCCATGACGAAAAGTCGGCAATAGAATTTTGGGTAAAGTGCAGAATCACCCACTGTTTGACGCGTTTTTAAAAATTGCACATACTCGGTATCCAGTGCACATCGACCTATTTTCACTTTAAAAAAAAAAACCTAGAATTGCACAAAAATGGCACTGCGCACACCCTTGACTTTATCTATATGCACATCGACCTATTTTCACTTAAAACGTAAAAGAAAATTGACAAAAATCCAATTGTTTTTACCCTTGTAAAAAGCGGCAAACAAATAAGTGAGGGATTCTGCACTTTACCGAGAATATTTTCAAAGAAAAGGCATCATTACTTACATAAAATTACGTTTGAACAACCAACGAGATGAAATTATGCTTTAGCGATAAGTCGGTAGCGAAATGGCGATGCAGGCATCCATTCAGTATGTTCAGCAATTTTTATATAAATTATAACAATAATCTGAAATAGTTATTTACTCTTATGCTTCCATTTAGTGATGTTTAGCCTTTTTCATATAAATTATAATAATAAAAAGGTATTATACGAAATTAACCTTTCATCTAAATTAAAACATCAATCTTAGATAGTAATTTACTATTATACTTCCTTTCTTGCCGCAATTATTTTTGGCAGCATTGCATCAACAATAGTTTGGCGATATTTTACGGGCCTCGAAACCGAATAGTACCCCACCTTTTTTAAAGGGCGACTAGGGCTTTAGGGAACATTGTCGCCAAATCCTGGGTGTGCAGAGTCATCATCCGCAACCCTTTTTTAGTTCGGGCGCCACTGTAGAGACATTAGGATTTATTTAGAAGCAGGAGTCATAAAATATTAGCAACCGCCTTCGCCGGGAATCGAATCACGGACGTCTGGAATACCGGCCCAGTGTGCGAACCACTACACCACGAAGGGCACGTTAGGAAAGCGGGAGAAATACCTTATAAGTGCAATAAACCTAAAAATTAGTATGATTTTATGAGACGTGTATGATATTCGTAGCGTCAATGAATCATAAAATGGTGTTATTAAATGTTAGATGAAAGAAATTAATGAAAAGGAGAAATTAAAAATCGGAAATTGTTGTCTGCTGTCAACAAGGGGAGAAAAGGTAATAAAAAAATTATTTTAAATATCCTATATTCCCGCATATAACGCGGACATGAAACTCCAAACTGCATTTATTAACTTTTAAGTACATTCGCTGTATAAGTGGACCCTTTTTAAGCGCTCTATAACGCGCTAGTTTCACAAAACCTCTACATATAATAAAAGAAAGAGTCTGGTACATAGGTGCATCTAGACAAGAGCCAGTGCACCTCGAAGCGATTTTTTCGAAATTCGAATTTTTTTTTTTTTTTTTTATTTTATGTTTTGTGACGAAATCGCGTCATTTTGAGACATCATGGGCTATAGGTAAGAGAGATTTTACTCTAGACACTCCATTTTCACATCGTCATGAAACGTAGGCACTTAGCTATTTTACGAACTTAAAATAAATTTCGTGTTTCAATACGAATTTATTTAACAAAGGGAGCTTAACACCTTTTCAACGGGATTTTTTCTAAAAGCGTTTATTTTTAAAAATGTACAGTTTATTTTTCTTTGATTTTGGGACACGTTAAACTTTCATCCTTGCGACTGCTTTTACAAAAAGAATTTTAGAAAAATGATAATATTTTGTATATTTAAAAAAAAAAAAAATTTTAAAGAAGCTTCCGAGTACACTTCTCACATCTCTCATCTTTAAAAATGTGATTTTGGCAACAATTTTCCTGTCTTATTGTTGTTGATAGATTTTTGATGAAATCCCATCATTCTGAATAGTTTCATTCTTTTAGAAATATGAGTTTGGCAACAATGTTTCATCCTATTTCTTATGTCACTGGTTTTAAGAATTTGGCATATTTCATTGTCATTTATATATATATATAATACATTTTTATTGATTTTTTTTTTGATAAAGTTGTTTTGCAGAGTAAAGTTCTGCGCGGAATTTTATATTTTTTGAGTTACTTTCATGTTATTTTTTCTTCTTTCACCGTTTGTAAGATATTGAAAAGTTTTGCATGATTTTTTTCCTTCAACGGAAAGTTGGTTAATTTTTTTTATTAGGATAATTACTATTTGTATTAAGGGATATAGCTTATTTCATTGTAATTTTTTTTCTCTTGAAAATATAAGATAAAATATCATTAATTAGACTTTGCTTTACGGAATTTTTTGTTTTTTGCATTCTTTTATGTTATTTATTGCTCATTTCACATTTTTTAAGATATTGAAAAGTTTTGAGTGATTTTTTTTAGGAAATAAATTTTTAACCTCCATTATACCATGAGTTCTTAAGATTTTGCAAAGGGAAGTTGGTTAATTTAATTATTAGGATAAGTAATATGGATATAGCTTATTAGTCCAAAGGGATTTGAATCCCGAAGGACTGTTAGTTTCGTTTTGGCATTTTGCGTCGGACTCATAAATGTCGATTCACTTTTCAAACTGTTGCCAGAAAATGTTAGAGTCCTGCATTATATTTGAAGAAATTAAATAATGAAAAATCTGCATAAATGTATGTATATTTCTCGTATTGTGATAAAACAACGGTACATAGAGTCATCGAATTTTGAATAACGTAATCCTCCAACGAATATGAGCACGTGGAAGACCAAATTTGAAATTTGAAATTTGAATTTGTTTTATGATCGATTTCCTATTTTTTAAAACTTTGACGAATTTTTGATTAACAAACTCGAGGATTTCAAAGCGAGCAATGGCAACGTTGTGCAGAAAAAACATTTTTATCTCCAGCGCGTGAGTCTCTGTATCGGAAATTCTAAAGATATGCTCGTTTTAAAACTATTTTGCGATATTGCTGTTGCACTGGATCTTATGGTTTAAGTGCGAGGAACATGATATTTAATAAAGAAAGGTAACACACAAAATGTTAAAAAACGCCCCTTTGGACGTAATTTAAAATCTGAAACATTTCAGATTTTTTTTTTTTTTTTCATTGTAATTTTGTTATACGTAATAACTTTTTTTTTTAACGAAGTTGTTCTGCAGAGTAAAATTCTACGCAGTTTTTAAATTTAACGTTTGGTGTTTCCTTCAGCCATGTTTCCGGTACATTTAAAAGCCAGACGAAGGCTGGCAGCGAAGCTGCTAGTATGAAATAAAAATAATATTGCCAAACATTAAACATATTACACTGGTGTGCAAAACTGTGTGCAACAATGTAAATTTTAATCAGATAGCCATGAAATTGCAGGAAAGGGATTCTTGCCATCAGTACAATGATCTCGCAATTCAGTAGAAAGGTCATGCGGATGTAAATGGCAGGAACAAACCATCACGGGCAATGTAAGTGTACACAAAACGCTCATCTGAAGACTGAGTACTTTTGTGACATATAGCTAGAAGGAATCACCTGGAAGACTTCACACGTGGGAAAATTATCAGAAAGCTGGAAGAGGGGCGTAGGGTGACCAGTGTAGCTGAGGAGTTCGGAATCAACAAAAGTGTTGTTTCGCGCGCTTGGAAAGCCTTTCAAACTATAGGTCCTGCTGATAGAAAGGTTGGCGATTGCCGCTACACGAAAACAACTGCAGTGGATGATCAATATGTCATTCTGCAGGCGAAAGCAGTTAGCAAGTGCCACAGCTGTGTACAGTAATGGGGCAACTCGTGTTGCGGTTTACTGCGTCCAGACCATGGAGGTAGGAAGTAAGATGGAGTTGCCCTAAACAAGTTTCTCCCGTACCCTGCTTTGAAGCACCGGCGATCCCTACGTGGTGACCAAAACATTGGGTCATTTACCATTGAGTTCAATGGGATTTAACGCGTTCGGATGTAAATATTTTGTAATTACGTCGTAAATATACATATAAATGTATATATTTTCTTTTTCTACAACACTTCAGAGTCCTAAGTATATGAAAACAACATATTTTTAAACAACATTTCATTCTGAACGGAATTAAATGCTATACTTTTCACAGGACAGTTTTCTCAGAATGGTTTAATTTGAATGAAATATTTTCGCAAGTTTTCGTTAATTACATTAAAAAAAAATTAAGGTAATTCGATTTCATTTGGTTAAGGTACAAAAAAATTAAGATCAAAGTTTATTGTATTATTAATATTAAAATTATGCATTATTTCTTTTCTATTTATAGAGCTTCTTCCTAAAATACTTTCTTAAATATGACATGATTTTTTGGCTTCTGAGGCATCTTTTAAATCGAAAAATGTAAATCAATTTATAATTAATGCTCTATTTGGTTCATTTTAAATTAGAGAATTATTAGGAATTAGCGAAATACTTTAAATAGTACTTGACTTTCTCTGAACATTTCGAAGGAAAAAATAAGTTTTTTTTTTTTTTTTTTTTTTTTTTTTTTTTT